TCGAATATAAGAAATTACGGGCCCAAGCTAGATATGTTACAAAAACAAGTAGAAAAAAATCTTGGCAAGAATTTCTGTCTGTTAATAATTCTATGCCTATAGGTACTGTATGGGAAAAGGTTAGAAAAATATCTGGATGCAACAGTTATAAAAAAATTCCGTTCTTGTATGGAAACAAGAAAATATTATCATGTGACGTTGAAATAGCAGAGTTATTTGCTAAGCAATTCGAAATTAACACTAGTAACAACAACTATTCCAAAGACTTTTTAAACATTAAGATACCTACAGAACAACAACTAATTGATTTTATTGGCATGGAAGATAACCCCATCAACAAACCATTTACAATAGAAGAACTAAATCATTCCTTAAGTACCACCAAAAAGTCGGCACCAGGACCAGATGACATTCCGGTAAGTTTTCTTCAAAATCTACCTGACAATGCAAAGCTGTTCCTTCTTGACCTTTACAACAAAATTTGGCATAGTCATGAATTTCCATCGAAATGGGCGGAGGCAATAGTAATACCTTTATTGAAAGCAAACAAAACACGAACTGACCCTACGTCATATAGACCAATTTCCCTTACTAACACAATATGCAAAATATTAGAAAAAATGGTAAATAAAAGGTTATTGTGGTTTCTAGAGGAAAATAACTTAATAATTAACGAACAAAGTCTTGCAGTATTTGTTGATATAAATAAAGCTTTCGATATGGCTTGGAGGTATGATATTTTTAACCCATTAAGTCACTGGGGAGTCAAAGGTCACATACTCTGTTTTATTCGTAATTTCCTAAACAATCTGAAATTTAAAGTACGTGTAAATGCTGTTACATCAAGTATGAAAAATCAAGAAAATGGAACTCCACAAGGATCTGTTATCAGTTCAACATTTTTTTGATTTCAATAAATAAAATATTAGATAATTTACCAAAACTTGTTAAAGCAAGATTATATGCTGATGATTTAGTATTATACGCAAAAGGAAAAAATATTCGCTCGATACAAAAAAATCTACAATGTACATTAAATCATCTTGAGAATTGGTCAAAAGCTGTGGGAGTACAATTTTCTACTAACAAAACAAAATGTATATTGTTCTCAAAAAATCGACATTCTACAAAGCCAAATCTGCACATATATGAAAACAGCTTAGAATATGTTGATCATATAAAATTTTTAGGTATGTTTTTTGATAACAAACTCTCTTGGAAAATGCACATTATATACGTCAAGAAAACTTGCCAAACTGGTCTGAATTTATTGCGAACTCTGTGTAATAACAATTGGGGTTCAGATTTTAAAAGCCTTATTAACATATTCAAATCATTTATATGATCAAAGATTGATTACGGATCAATAGTTTACGCTTCTGCCAAGAAAACATTACTTGCTCAGCTCGAAACTATACAGAATACAGAATTAAGAATAGCCACAGGAGCTTTTTGTACCAGCCCAATTGAAAGTCTACAATGTTTTACTGGCGAACCACCTTTGAAATTCAGGAGAACATATCTATCGTTAGCTTATGCTTCAAATATTCAATCAATAAAATCACATCCCGCTCTTCATAACACAATCGGGGATCATTTTAAAGATATTTATATTAAAAAACTTGAACAGATCCTCCATTCTACGAGAGAATTCGAAGGTTTTTATCCTCTTATAGCATTCAATTTCCAAACTTCTTTAGTAAGCCGACTACGGCTGCATTTCCACCATGGACAATACCCCCTTTACAATGCGATCTAACTCTTACCAAATACAACAAATTTAAAACTCCCCACAAATTAATAAACCAAGAATCACTTAGCAAACTCTCCTGTTTTTCTGATTATTATCACATCTATACAGATGCATCCAAATCCACTGATGGTGTAGGATCAGCAATTGTCACTCCAAATACCACATTGCAATTCAAACTATCACCTACTAGCAGTATTCTCTCTGGAGAACTGTACTCGATTCTACAAGCATTAATTCACATAAAGCAACCACAATATCTCAAAAACCCTGATAATTACTGACTCTCTTAGTGCATTACATTCAATCAAACAGCTCTATACCAGTAACCCTATCGTTCATCTAATACAACATCAATTACACCTTATAAAGCAGGCAAAACAGCAAATTCGTTTTTTCTGGGTTCCATCACACACTGGTTTGGAAGGCAATGAAAAAGCGGATCATTACGCTCGTAAAGCAATACAAAGTGCATCATCAATAACAGTGAATACAGTGTCTGTGTCGGATTTTAAATCACTCGTAAAAAAGAAAGTGCTAAGTGAATGGGGAAATAAATGGCAACAATCAAAATCATTTCTAAACACTATTAAGCCTACAACACATTCATGGTGTGAAATAAACGTTGACCGCCGGGTATTCGTTAAAATGACTCGATTGCGTATAGGACACAGCAGACTAACTCATGGTTATATTATCGCCAAATCAAATCGCCCTATATGTGATCTTTGTAACTCTAATATATCCATACCACATATTTTGGTAGATTGTCCCAACTTTATTAATGAAAGAAACAAACATTCAATACCTGGAAATATCAAAGATATTTTAGGAGATAATTGTAATCAGAAAAACCTCTTTAATTATCTAAAGGATATTAATATTTTAAACAAATTGTAAATAACTTTAATTTATATTAATATATAAACAGGTTTTACTTTAGTTACTAATAACACCATATTGTGAAATTAATCTTAACTTAAATATTGTACTACAAACCTACCCACTTAATTGTAATCTTGACTGTTTGTAATTTAATTAATTGTAAATTGTATATTATGTCCTCCCGCTAATAACTCCAAGTAGTTGATGTGGTTAATAAAGAAAAAAAAATCTTAGAATGTCTTAAATACGTATTTCATCCTAATAGGAATCGTAAATAGCGGCTCCGTCGATTCCTTTTAGGATGAAATACGTATAAGCGGATATAAAGACACACTGCACATGAAATCAAATCTTAACCGTCTTTCCTTTTATCTCGGTATACTCTTTATGAGTACTAGAAACCAATTCGCTAAGAATTTTTGCTTACTTGAGAAGATATGTTGTGGAATGCAATTTTAGATTACCCATGTCTCTAATTATATCTTTATCAACGTCTGTTTTGCTTTGCAATTCATAGAAGGCACAAATTAAAGCAGAAATCTGAATTTGGTTTCGACAATTAGTTTCCGGATTTATGATCAGATGTCGCTATTGCCTCCATATCCAAGCCATTTTGGAGTTGCTTCTACTACGACAGGAAAGATTGTTTTTTACGTTCAGAGTATTTGTAAATAGCCGCTTGGTCGATTCCTTTTAGGATGAAATATGTATAAGCGGATATAAAGACGCACTAAACGTGAAATAAAATCTTAACTATTTTTCCTATTAAATTTTAATTAATATTATTTTCTGACTTTTTGTAAGCTTTGTCCATAAAATTGTACAATTTTATGTGACAATAAAGCATATTTCTATTTTATTCTATTCTATACCAATACGATATAAACAGTTATCTTTTAAGTCTTTTAAACATAGTGTTAAAGAATTGTTGATTTACCACAGTTTCTATTCTCTCTTAATGAGTGTCTGTCTCATGTATTGTATCGTATTTTTTATGTTTGACGAATGTAATAATATAGAAGTTTACATCAATAGATCTATCTATCTACTTTTTAAATTTCCCACTTTTTTCCTAGTAACACATTACAACAATACCATTAACTCTTCAAAGGACATCGGATAATAAAGTCAAGATAAACAATAGTATAACAGATAGCTTTGAGGTCCATTATCATCTAAAATGTTGAGCACAATATAAGAAAAGGTTATACAGGAAGCTGTATAGATATAGGTAAAATATATAATATATATATATATATATATATATATATATATATTTATATATATACATATATATATATATATATATATATATATATAAATATATATATATATATATATATATATATATATATATATATATACATATATATATATATATATATATATATATGTATATATATATATATATATATATATATATATATATATATATATATATATATATGACATGCAATTAAAAACGAGAAGGAAAACCAAACCCTAGAAATTAAAAGAAGGACACAATTGTCATGGGCTGCTTTTGTTAAGTTGAGATTCATTTTAAAAGACAAAAAAATCCCAATACACTTAAAACGAAAAACCTATTACACTTGTATACTACCAGTTGCAACTTATGGGTTGGAAACTATGGCAATAACAAACAAAATGGCAGAACAATTAAGAGTAACTCAACAGGCCATGGAGAGGGCCATGTTAAATATAAGCCTCAGAGACAAAATTCCTTACACCACCGAAATACGTCGAAGTACTAAAGTAACCGACTTCATGGGAAAGATAGCGACACTGAGATGGCAATGGGTAGCACATGTAGCAAGACAAGACACCAACAGATGGTCTCATAAAGTGACATTCTGCAGACCTCGAGAAACAAAAAGAAGCGTAGGAAGACCCAAAAAGAGATGGATAGACGATAAAACAGGTGTAACTGGAAAACAGTGGATGAGAATTGCAAAAGATAGGGAAGCGTGGAAGCAATTGGAGGAGGCCTATGTCCAGCAATGGATAAATGAAGGCTGAAGAAGAAAAAGAAGAAGAAGAAAAAGATGATGATAAAGGATAAGTAAGTTTAGGCATATTTATTGGTGCAAAACATGTATCTTAAAAAATATTGTCCACATGCATATCTCGATTTAAGTAAATTTATGATAAAAACATTGCACATATAATGTTTATATCTGACACGCTTTCTAAAACTTTATCTTGAGTAATTTAAGTTACAGCTTTATTGTAGATACATGCTTTAATAAAATTTCCTTATCAAAAATTGCTAACACACGAAAAGGTTTCAATGAATATATTGAAAGTATGTTCAGTCATGTTTTAACTATTATTCATATTCACATTACAAATTGTTACACCTAATATGTTACTGGTTTATTTGTTATGTATGTTTACTGTAGCCAAGCAAACGACTTGTGTGTCAGAAAAAGTTATAGATGCATATGAAAAACTAATAAATGAAGCAATTGAGGAAGCTAAAAATTATGAGCTGCCAACTAGTTCTGTCAAATACAAACCGATTGGAAATCAACATTATCCTAACGGTAGATGTTTTTTGTACTCAAGTATTTTTTAATTAAGTATATTTTGTAAATGACATTCATTTTTAAAGTGAATTAACTCAAATATAATTAAAGTTTGATATAGCATTTTACTAATTAATGAACTTTATTTGAGTTGCTTCACTATTATAATGTTTTATTCATAATTCGATCATTTTCGATCATTCATAATCAATTACATTTATGACTGGGGATAATTTAATTGATAAAGTGGATCTTTTTCTTCTTGTTATACCTTTTTAGGCAATTCTGGCTGTTTGTGTTTCCTTGGATTGAGCCTTTATGTTATATTGTCACTCCATTTTTTCCGTAGTCAGCCCACATCTTCTACCCCACGGTGATTTGTCTCTTTCTATCTTGACGACCGTATTGTCTTTCATTCTGGTTATATAATATTTACATTCTCTTTTTCTATTCAGTATCAAATTGCCTATTTTTTCCACCTTGTATAATGTTCTGATTTCATCATTTCTTTTTCGATCCCTCCGTGTGTTTCCCGTGATTCTTCTTAGTATTTGAGTTTCTACTGTCGCTATCATTCTTTTGGCTTTGGATGTACCAGATCTTATTTCAGTAAGATGTTATAATTGACTTTATAGCGGTTTTGTAAATTGTTGTCTCAGTTTTCATCCTAATGTGTTTATTCATCCATATTGAATTATTAGACATCCTGTTGCTCTATTGGCTTACTGTATTTGTTATTTTTCCTCTGCTTCTACATCACCGTACCTGGATAGTGTAATTCCTATAACATATTTAATGCTAATTCCGTCAATTTCTATTTTATATCTTGTAGGTTCTTTTCTGGCGATTTTAGTTATTATGTCCTGGACTGAAATGAATATGTTAATCTTCTTTACCATTATGTTAAATTTATGAACCAATCCTTGAAGTCGTCTTCATTTCTTCTGTAATTTCTTGCTAAGTATTGCATGGTCTGCTTAAAATACGATCTTCGTTTGTTTGTTTTCATCCATTGTGATATTAAAAAGTAGGCTTGATGAGTCTCTCTGGCTTAAATCTGAATCTGTGTCTATTTTCTCTATCAGTTGACTGTCTATTATGTCCTATATTTTCTTGTCCGATATATCTTTGATTGTTTTATTAACATGTAATGAAATTTGTCTATTATATAAAAGGTGCATAACGTCCTTTAGCCATACTTTGCGAAAGGCTTTTCTACTAAGCGAAAACTAAACCCTTAATTTGTAATCTCATATTAATTAACTTCCTAATTTTACTGGGTGTAATTGTGATAGAATCTGTTATATACTTTAATTACGAGGATATTCATCTTTCGGTAGAATTCGATAACTTGCTCAATTTTTGCAAAATTGGCGCATTATTTGTGAGATTACCAATTGGCGTTAACTGCTTTTTAGCACGTAGTCTAATTAGAATATTCACATTATACAGAAATCATTGTTTGAAGTTCCGTCGAATATACGTATTAGCTTCCAATAACACATTTACTCCATGACTTCAGAATTTATTTCACATCATCGAACGAGTTGGACAGAAGAGCATTCGAGTGCATTAAGCAAAGTAATGCCATTCGACAGTATTCTAGTGCCTTTGCGTGCTTTTTCTTACAACAAATACGGCATCTGTACATGATCTTTCATCTATACATGGTCTTTTAGGGAATACTGCTTTAAAATAACACATAGCTTTTTTTTCACGTTTTTTCAAGTTTTCACGGTTTCATGTCAACGCCAAAATCTTTCTAACCAACCATTTGATACGTTGACGTCACCTAGTCCTAGTCATTACGTTACTTCGAGGGCTTTGGCTTGAATTATAGTTCCAGATATTGATAAGTTCAAGTTTTAACTCTTAAAAAATTGCTTGATCTGCACAAGTCCTCCAGTTTTATTAATTTTTTGTTTTTTTTGGTCAACGTTACCATCTTTAAAAAAATCTACTGACCTTTTCTTTATTTTGTAGCAATACGGTCACTTTAGTCTTGCTTATTTTTTGAATTATTTTGAAATTTTTTGAATATCTTCCTGGTACTTATGCCACTTTTTTCACTTTCGTTATATGTATATACTCAATTTTTATTTGATAGAGAGGCTTTCGTTTCCTTTGTCTCGTCATACCGTTGAATAACCCAAATTATTATTATTATTCAATCAACGGGTTATTTAATAAATGGTCATACTCATTAACATCACAATAAAAAATGTCGACTATTACGCGCCAGCAGAAAAGTCAATAATCACTAGCAAACTAGCACCTGAAACTGACCGGTTTGCGCTTTGCAATTTTCATAATAGAAATATCTAACTACTTATAGTTTCCTTAATCGGCCGATTTGCGCTCTCTTGCAATATAATTTTAATTTCATTCTACAATAATAGTCTCGTGAACCTGCAATAAACAAACTAACATGTCAAATAAACAGAGACATCTTTTTCCTTTAGATTTGAAAAAAAAATGTCAAATCCAAACTAACGAAATTATTAAATTTTTCTAATACTGTCGAACAACAAAGTGTTCTTTAATCTTTAACACCTCTGTTTATAATCCTTCTAAATGGAAGTTAATTTTTTACATATAATTAGTATCTAGAATTCCCAAAATGAGAGATCGCTGGAATTAACTTTTCTTTCTACCTGATAATGCGAACTGGTAACTACTTAAGTCATTAACAAAGGGTACGGTAACAGAAAAATTACTGAAAATTCTAGGTGATAATGACCATATTGATGGTCAATAATTTCTATCGCGTTCTTTGAGATAGTAGGATCAAGAATTATTGTGAATCAGTGTGAGTTAGTGTGAGTTAGTGTTTTAAAAATGGATGTGAAAATTATTGAAACTTCGAAGGGAAAACCATGTGCATTGTATAAAGGGTACAGTTTTCGTATGAAAAAAACAAATAAAGATGGTTCGGTTTTTTTGGAGTTGTTTGAGAGAGAAAACTAAAAAATGTCGAGGCCACATAATTATGGATAATAAAACAATAATTATATATAACACAATAAAAGCGTGCAAGTACTAGCATTTGCAGATGATGTTGACATAATCGCAAGATCAAGAAGAGAATTGATAGAGGCATTCACTCAAATAGAACGAGCTGCAAAAAATAGTGGTCTTAAAATCAATCAGACAAAAACAAAATATATGCTGCAAATAAAAAAGCACAACTAAGGCAGCTGCCAAATTTACTAATAGGAGAATACAACATTGAGGCGGTAAAAAACTTTACATACTTTACATACAGAGGAAATGAAGAGGAGAATATTTATTGCCAATAAATGTTACCATGGCTTAATTAGGCAACTAAGATCAGATAACGTCTCCAGAAAAACAAAATGCCAAATATACAAAACCTTAATAAGACACTCTCTAAAAGGGAGGAAACGTTATTAGCCACCTTTGAAAGAAAAATCTTGCGACACATATATAAGGGCACAAAAGAAAACGGGATTTGGCGGAGAAGGTATAACTATAAATAGGAAGGCTACGTTGGATTGGACATGTGGAAAGAATAGAAGAAGGCGAAATACCAAACAAAATATTCAAACAAGTGCCAGTAGGAAAAAGAACAAGAGGAAGACTGAAGCTGAGATACGTAGAACAAATAGAAAATGATATAACAACATTAAAAATTAAAAACTGGAAAAAAAGCACGAAACAGGTCAGAATGGAGAAGAATCCTTGAACAGGCCAAGACCCAAAAAGGGTTGTCGAGCCATGATGATGATGATGAACACACATAATTAAGGAAGCCGAACATCTGTGTAAGCCGAGTGTTGCAGCGACAGAAGTGAAGCAGTGTGTCTTCAATGCTCGAAAAAGAGCTAGGGAAGACAATAGGTATTTGCCGATGTCAAAAATATATCGGGATGAATTTCAAATATTATATAGTCAAGGACTGGATTTCGTGACAGACATCCCAAAATTCTCTTCAGTGAAAAGTGGTTTACGCGATTGTTATAAAACGTGCACGTGGGCTGCTCACAGATCCAGTGGCAGCATCCGAAATAGTATTTCCAAAAGAAATTATTACAATGAGCGACAAAACAAAATTTTTTATTTATCGACAAGACCACTCCCTCGGGATACAGAATCTTGGTGTTTGTCAGCAACAAAGCTAGGGAGATTTTGGTTAACAGTAAGGACACTGTATTTATGGATGGAACGTTCAAAAGCAGCAGTAAGCAATTTAGTCAAATATTTATCGTTCATATCGATATTGGTAATACGTCAGAGGAGACAAATACAATGCCATTGATATTTGCGTTACTTCCTAGCAAAACTACAGAGACATACGATATGGTATTTTCATCAATGAAAGAGAATCAACCAAATTGGAAACCATCTTTTATAAAACTGGATTTTTGAACAAACAATGATTGGTGCCTTAGAAAATTATTTTCCCGAAGCCAAAATTTCTGGTTGTAATTTTCATTTCAATCAATGTATATGGAAAAATGTTCAAAATATTGGTGGTTAAAGCGGTGCAAGAAAACATATATTAATCTTGATGAAAGAATATCTAAAAACTTTACAGAAATATAAAGATACAAGGGACTTAAGGTTGTGTTTAAGGACATTGGCATATATCCAGAAGCTGCAATAAATAGACAATTTTTTATTCCCAAGATTTTTTTGTATTGTACTGTATAAAAAGCTAAAAAAAACGAAAAAAAAAACAAAAAAAAATTAAAAAAAAACAAATTAAAAAAAAAAAAACGAAAAAAAATGAAAAAATAAAAAAAAACATCTTCTAAACACGCCAATGTTTATATTATGTATAAATTATGACAGTCCTAAGCCTGAATGAAAGTGTGAAGGGAAGATGGTTTGTTTTTATTTTTTTATAGTTTTATTATTTTAAAACTAATTTTACTAGCCTAACAGTTACCGGATCCTTATGGTAGAATAGAATTAAACGTCGATTACAGGAGAGCGCAAAACGGTCGATATAAGAAAATAATTAGCCATACATCTCCATTAAAAAAGTGTTAGAGCGCAAACCGGCCGATTTCAGGTAAGGGAGCAAAACGGTCGAGCGCATATCGGCCGACACCTACCCAGAGTCGTCAAAGAGAATGGTCCATATAAAGAGGTATAAAATAACGGGGTTTTCCATTTCTAATGCCTGAAAATCCTAAATCGGTCGTTATATGCCGGTGGTTACTTTATAGGAGTCGCTTGCAGATGTTTTATTTACAATTTTTGTTTTTTTTTTGTTGGGGATAATTCAAGTTAATTTACGTTGTTTTTGGGTTTTAAAGGAAGTATGTAGTCAGAAAAGGATTTCGTTGTTTAAATAATTGTATGACACTTCTCTGCTATCGTTTTTGTTGTGCAATCTAAAGTAGCCGAGGTAATGTATCTCTCTGTATACTTTGCCACCGATTTTTGGATTATAAGCTACTGTAACTAAAACGAAGTACAATATTGTTGCCTTGTTACTTTTATTAAATCTTCGATAAGAGTCTCAGATTGGTCTTTATATTTTCTATGGCTAAAATATATGTAGGTTCTATCTTTAAATTTATAAAATTACGGGGTATATGACCCTGTCTAAAATTGGGTAGTACTTTCTTACTTCGTTTTAAATTAAATTTTAAAACCGTATATTTCTCTCGTAGTCGTATAAGTTTCGCAGAGACCCAGTGTGTCTTATTTGAAAAAAATTTCGGAAATTTGATACTTTAATGCCTATTTCATCAGCATTACGTCCAGCACGATTAGGCAAACTTTAAATGCTACTAAAGTGCAATCCACACAAGCTCAAATTTTTCTATACAAACCATAATTCCTACTGTGAGCCAGCCAATAATGTATTGATACACTTATCTTGCCGTTAGCAGGCTTTATATGTTACTAAATAATTGTTGTACTTATTTTATTCAAGCCTTTTGTCGAAAAGAAAAATAACAAAATTCAGAGTTATATTTATTTAATTTTATATATTTATAGATATTGGTGAATATGATTTCATTGTCGTGGGATCAGGATCGACGGGATCGGTACTAGCACGACGCTTATCTGAAATATTTGATTGGAGAATTTTGGTATTAGAAGCTGGTGAATTTGGCAATAGTGTCACCGCCATTACTAGAATGAGTAGCAGGTATACTGTGATGAGCGATTATAACTGGGGTTACTACAGCGAACCTCAAAAGAATTGTTGTTTAGGTACGCACAGATATCCATGTGGTATTTATAATATTGTTTTTTTTTTATTTTATTTCTAAACTAATTAGTTATAATCTAGTTTAATTTTTCTCCTAAAATTAATATATCAATAATCTTTTTGTTTATCATTTGGCTTACTGTTTTAATTTTGTTACATATCTTTTAGGTTATGAGGGCAATAGATGTCCACATATGAGAGGAAAGGCGGTAGGTGGAACAAGCATATTTAATGCTTTGATCTACACGCGGGGAAGCAGAAAAGATTTTGACCTTTGGTGTAGCATGGGCAACAAAGGATGGTGCTACAATGATGTTTTACCCTATTTCTTAAAATCAGAACACTTGCATCATACGGATCCTTCTGCGCCAATTGATTATCCATATCACAATTTTTCTGGGCCTTTATGGGTAGAGCAACCCATGCCGCGCTCAGCGCATCACAAGGTATGTACTAAATGATATACAATAGAATTAATGGGAATATAAATCATGAGAAAATTAAAATTACGTTCTTTGATGTTTTGGCGAGTTTTGGTCTATAGATTGGCAGTCATTTTTAAAATAAGCAGCTTCTTTTAACTATTTTTCAACATGTATAAAAATACATAAAATAAGATTCTCGATTGAAATATAAGAAAAATTAGAGCTTCAATAAAATTGGATCGTGACGAAACTAAACAGAAAATTAATTGGTTACAAAATAAAAAGCAATATAAAAACGTTTTCTTCTTCTTATGGCGCCATCTTCTTTCAAAAAATGTCGATCCATTCCATCTCCTCAGGTCTTTCAGTCATGAGTTCTGTCGTATTCCTGATTTGCCCTGTTCGTTACCTTTCACTATGATTCGGAGTAGTTTATATATTTTAGTTCTCATCACATGACTCAAGAATTGTATTTTTCTCACTTTGATTATGCTTACTAAGAGTTATTCTTTACTCGTGTGTCAAAGTACATCATTGGTAGTAACTTTTTGTGTCCATGAATTTATCAGAATTTGTCTGTACATACGCACGTCAAAGACATATATTCCTTTTTCGGTTTCAGATGCCATTGTTCAACTTTCACAGTTGTACAGTAAAACAGAAAAAACGTAACATCTAATCATTTGAATTCTTAGTTCTAGAAAACGATTAGGAAAGGATTATCAGCGTATCTGATGTTGTCTTCACTTATTCTGTTAATCTTGATTTCTCCTTAGACTCCATTTAATATGTTGCCTTCCTCCTTGGACCTGTTGCACCCCTCCTCCGATTCGTATATCGGATATTATGTGCTCTATTTCAGTTGTTGTCGTTTGGTGCCAATATAGTTCTAAAATAATTGACAAGTCTTATTCGTCATTTTCAGTTTTTTTCAGAATTTTGATCATCTTTAAATGGTTAACGCACTCAAATGCTCTTTGATAATCAATACAAACATTTATATACATTTACATTAATATCTCTAAATTGTTGTGTTAACAAATTTAAGGCAATTTAAGAGCTTCTCGTGTTTCTAACCTGTATCAGAATCTTAATTGAGTGTCACTTACTTCTTACAAATTCGTGTAAGGATGATTTTGAGAAAACTTTTAAGAACATGAGATGTCAAGCTTAATATTCATTAGTCATCATTGTGGGTAATCGAGGTTTTTTGGTAATGTTACGAATATTGATTTTAGTCAGTCTGAGAATAATTTACCCGTGTCGTATATTTTATTGAATAAGTGGTGCTGTTATCTCTAGTTAGGTATTGGCTTTTACTTTCGTTGACTGCAGTTATCCTAAGTACTTCGACATTGATTTTCACCTTGAAATGGAAATCTGCGTGCCGTATTATAAAAATATTAGTTTGTCTCTAAAGTTTTTTAAACTATTTTATATTTATTTTGCAATACTAGGTATTTCTAAAGGCGAACGAAGAAATGGGATATCCTATCGGAGACCTTAATGGTAGACTACAAATTGGAACAATGCCTTTTCAAATAAACACCAAATATGGAATACGTCAAGATAGTGGCACTGCTTTTATATTACCAGTACTAGATAGACCAAACTTAGAGATACTAACTGGGTCATTGGTAATTAAGATTACAATGCATGGAAAACAAGTAGATGGTGTATTATTTCTGAGGGATGGAATTCTTTATCAAGCTAGAGCAAAAAAAGAAGTTATTGTTTGTGCTGGAGCGATTAATAGTCCCCAACTTCTAATGCTTTCAGGAATTGGACCGAAAGACCATCTTCTAGAACATAGTAAGTAGAAATAAATTTTGTTTTTTAAAATACCACTTCATGTTACAATAATGTATCTTAGTGACTTAGTTCTACGGGCCACTGTATCAGCTCAGCTAAAAGTAAATCGTGTATCTGTCAATATAAAGCACCCTTGAGCTGATCTTGAGTATCATTTATGATAATTGAAAACGGTTTTGATTACTTGAAGAGCTTGAAGTATGAAAAGTGACCTGAGAAACGGAACTTTGTGGATTACCTACATTTTCAATAGTATCTACATGAAGTAGCAAAAAAAGTTTCAGTTCACACTTTTGACACGTTCCATACTTTTAACTGTTACTAATATGCCCTGAATGTAAACAGTTTAAGCTAATCCTGGAACCGTTTGCCTCTTCGGTTTTTTTCTTTTTCAACTTTAATACAGTTGAGATTTAAATTGAATTGAAACGAAAGATTTCAAAATTTTTTTTTTCAATATTATTTTTTTGAGAATTTTTTCATATTTTTATTTCCTTTTATGGCAAGACTTTCAAAAATATTTGCGTCCTTTTTTACGATCTCTAGTAGATCCTCCAAGATTAGATTGGTGGGTCTAGCTAAATCCCACCACGTTCAATTGCTGAATCTATACTTACTTTAAATCGGTGCCAAAACTTTTTAAACAAGTGGTTTGTTTTTACTCGAATCTCGAATTCTTAACGAACAGCCAAACATGAAGTATGTCCAGTCAAAGGACCTGAAAACTTGAAGTATGTCCAGACGCTGAACCAGATACATTTGTAATATCTTTGGCTCGAAGGATCAGAAAAACTACCTCGTTTGGAATTATAAGTGCAGAATAACGATACGAATTTCGCCAAACAATTATTATTCTTCTACTCGTTTTCTTCTTATTTTTATATAGACATGACTCTGTCTGTTTTTCAATGTGCCTCGAGTACGTTGTCATTCCATCGTTTTCGTGGTCTTCCTACTGATCGTCTTTCTATTGGGGAACCGTCTCGTGTCGTCTTTACTACTCTATTTGTTGTCATTCGGCTTATATGATCGTTCCATTCCGTTATTCTATTTCTTACCCAGTTTTTTATGTTCTCCACCTAGCATATATGTCGTATATCTGTACTTCTAGCTCTCTCCCATAGTGTCTTACCATCAATCTTTCTAAGTGTTATCATCTCTGCTGTTTCTAATATCCTTTTTGTCCTGTCTGTGTCAGGTCTTGTTTTTGCCGCGTATGTCATTATTGGTCTGATGACAGTTTTGTAAACTCTGCCTTTCGTTTTTTTTCCCGGTATTTTTATTTCTTCATATTGTTTCATTTAGGCAGCATGTGGCTCCGTTTGTTCTATTCACTTGATCTTCCACTTCGGTTTCGAGCTTTTCATAGCTAGATAATGATGCCTAGATATTTAAACTCCATCACTTGTTGTATTATATGACCTTCCAGATGTTGTAACCATGCATTTTGTCTTTGTTGGGGAAGTTAACATGTTAAATTTTCTAGCGGTTATATTAAATTGGTGTAGCATACGTTGTAAATCATCTTCACTTTGAGAGAGTCGTCTGCATAGAAGATCATTTTAAATCATGAATGTGTTGCTTGTGTGAGTCCATTTCAAATAGGTAAGAGAAATAATAAATAAGGCTTACTCACAATCAATTTAATTTAACTATCCAGAAAACCGGTTTCGCTTTCTACAATATGCAAAGCATCTTCAGGTCTCGATATAAAGTTAAATGAATGCTGAAATAATAAAACCCATATTAGGGTATTGCCTTATAAAGATAAACAAAGATAGATGATATAAATTACAGTAATTATGCAATGTTACATGTCTGTGGTTTTTTTAAAATGAATAAAAATGTTTAAGCAGACAAGGTAAGACCCACAAATGAACAAATGAAAAAATGAACAAATAAATAAAAACTTAACTTCAAGCATCCGGTACTCTATTAGTGATGGTTGGAGAACTACCTGTATTGTTGAATGGAGAACTTAAGTCTGCTATTGTAATTGTTTGACAATGAACGGAGAAGTTCTTGAGGAGATAGATTTTATCCATAAAGTAAAGATAGGTGTAATGTGATTGTTTGTTAGATGAAAGCAATGTTCTATAACATTGAGTTATTTAAAAGTTATTTATATTTATTCAAGAGATATATTTATGAAATGTGTGTTATTTATTGAGATTTTATTTTAATAAAGGTGACAGTTGTATGACAATGAATGAGATTATATGTACAAATAGTGTGGGTGTGCATTTACTTTCAACTTGTAATTATCAAATTTCTTTGATAAAGTTCTATTGACATATATGACAAATGATTGCAAAGTCAAGTATAGAAAATTATTAAAGATAAAACAATTAAGGACAATTTAGGACACACAGAAAACACCTTAAAAGGGAGGGACGAAACAAACAAACAACTAAATTTAAAAAAGGAAGGACTTAAATGCACTGCATCTCTTACTTGGAGACAATGAGTTTTTATGTTATCTATTAGATTTTAGAGGTCAATTTGACAAATGAAGGTTAAAGTGTGACAGTTCTTCTTCTATTTTTAAATACTGTAAGTTAAGTTATCCAGTTTTATGAAATAAGCTAATATTAATGAATGTCTCTAAAATTTTTTAATTTTAGATATCAAAGTTTGTTGATGTGACAACAATATGAATAATTGGGATGTAATAATTATTACATCGCATCTGGTTTCGAAATATACTAATCTTACAAAATATTTGATTTCAAATTCAACACGTGGTTTGAGGGTTTCCAACACAAGATGGAAATATCATTCTTCAGACTAGTAGTATTAATTAAATGGATCTTTGTTATTTCTAATCATACGCAAAATTTACATTGTCAAATAGAAATATTAGACATTAACCATAAACTGCTATAAATTTGAAAATGTTAAAGTGTTACAGAAATTATTATAGAAACTCACCATTGGTCGTGTCAGTGTGATGATATATATGTTCATGATACAGAAAAATTGAAATAAGAATTAATTTGCTTTACACCGGTTTAAATAGATAATCGTTTACCTGTTGGTTTAACCAATTTCCGGTCTAAACTGTCAGATATTAAACTTAACAACTAATTATTGAATGCTTAATAATTCAGTCAATTTCTTGAATTCATCAATTAATTTACCATCAATAATTTATATACTATTACTTTAGTTCCATATTAACATATCTAAACTAGAATAAAATATTTAAAAATATTTATACACACCATGTCAGATAACTCACACCATCAATAATTTTCAAAGAAAGTTTGTAACTTTGGTATATATTTTGATTACAATTAATGTAATAATAATACATGTTTAATTACCAAATAATCAGTTAAGTTTGTTCTGTAATTTTGACTAAATTGAGTTAGTTATAATGGAAAATGTATTTCAATTATTCATATTGTTACATTAAAATTTAATTATTTAATGATTGTTAAACTATGCCAATATTAAACACATCAACAAACTTTGATATCTAAAATTAAAAATTTCACATTCATTAATATCAGCTTATTTCATAAAACTGGATAACTTAACTTACAGTATTTAGAAATAGAAGAAGAACTGTCACACTTTAACCTACGTTTGTCAAATTTACCTCTAAAATCTATTAGATAACATAAAAACTCATTGTTTCCAAGTAAGATATGTAGTGCATTCAAGTCCTTCCTTTTTTAAATTTAATGTTTATTTCGTCCCCCCTTTTAAGTGTTTTCTGTGTGTCTTAAATTGTCCTTAATTGTTTTAACTTTAATAATTTTATATACTTGACTTTGCAATCATTTGCCATATATGTCAATAGAACTTTATCAAAGAAATTTGATAATTACAAGTTGAAAAAATTGCACACCCACCCAATTTGTACATCTAACCTCATTCATTGTCATACAACTGTCACCTTCATAAAATAAAATCTCAATAAATATCACAAATTTCATAAATATGTCTCTTGAATAAATATAAATAACTTTTAAATAACTCAATGTCATAGAACATCACATTCATCTTACAAACAATCACATTACACCTATCTCTACTTCATTGGATAAAATCTATCTCCTCAAGAACTTCTCCGTTTATTGTCAAACAATTACAATACCCGACTTAAGTTCTCCATTCAACAATACAGGATAGTTTGAACCATGTTATTCCAACCATCAATTAATAGAGTACCGGCACAGGCATGTAAGTTATGTTTTATTGGTTTGTTAATTTATTAATTTATTACAATTTAATAGACTATTTTATAAGAATTTGTCGGTCCTACCTTGTCTGTTTAAACATTTTATTTATTTTGAAAAACCACAGACATGTAATATTGGCATTATTACTGTAATTTATATCATTTATCTTTGTTTATCTTTATTAGACAACACCCTAATATCTGTTTTATTATTTCAGCATTTATTTAACTTTGTATCGGGACCTGAAGATGCTTTGCATATTGTAGAAAGCGAAACCGGTCGTGTGGATAGTTAAATTAAATTGATTGTGAGTAAGTCTTATTTATTATTTCTCTTAGCTATTTAGATTATTTTAAGTTGTTTTTCTCCCATTTGGTATCCATTTTTTGTTCTTACTTTTTTTATTATTTCATCAATAATCAGGTTATTTCTTCTTATCTCTTCTTATCTCTTAATATTTTTCTACTCTGCCTGACAAATTCAGACAAACTCTCTTGAAATGAAAAATGTAAAATAACGACACTGATTGTAACATTATTTACTGTACAACTCTTCTGGATACGATTCAAAAATAGAGTACTATGAAGTGAAAATCGGTTGATAATAATTACAAATTGCTCTTGACACTGTAGAACAGGGTTTGAGATAAAAAGTTCTGATTTAATTTGTATATTAAATATTAAAAATAAAAAATGAAATTTTAACAACCAATTTTCTTCGAATATTCAAAATTTTGGATTTACGGTCTTTTTATATACGTTTTAAACATTTAACGACAAAATAAAGTAATATGAGACATAAAACAAAACACTATTTTTAATTTTCACAGAATATAGCAAGCTTGACATGTTTCTTTGAAACGTTAAGTTTGTCACAAAAACAAGTTTATACACTAAATATTTTTTGTACTTTAACAATCTGTATTCTTATATACAAAAGAGTTTTGTTACTCTTATATAAACAAATAATTGGTAAATACATTGCCTGTGACCATGATACTATAAAAAAAAACAAGATAAGTCAACGCGCATGTTCTTGTGACGTAAGCCCGAGACAACTTGCCAAAATGCTAAATTGTCAAAATTAATGACAGCAAGTTAAAGTTTAAAATTAAATTTAAATTTTTCATTTGATGCAATTCCAGTTATATAAATAAAAAGAATTAATACTAAATACCAGCAGAGAATTAATATTTCAATATTAATAACAGCAGAGCAAATGTTTCTATGGATAATAATAAATGTTTCTGTAGATAATAATATATACTAATGCCCATTTTAATAGAACTCGAAGTAATACTTTATTTTTGATAGGTCTTTAAAAAAGTTACTTTGAATGTATGTAGTATGTAGTGAACTGTAACATATTTTTCGTAGTTATAATGGCGACACATTAAAAATAACAAAAAATTATTTAAAAAACTAAATAGAAGCTACAAAATATGTAAATGTTAGCGAATATGTAAAATTGCTTTTGTTTAGGTGTAAAATGTATTTTAAAATACGAATTTTAAATCAAAATATTAAAAATAATTACAATATCACAAAAGAAAAATCACAAATATTGTAAAATAATTGTCTAAATGAAAAGTCTCAAGTTTGACCCGGTTTTCCTTTATGGTCAAATTCCTTACATTTTGCCGGCCTTTTATATTTAATTTATGTTTTGTAGCAATTTTTATTTTATTTGTAATACACGCAATCAAATCGTAGATTCATATATTTCTTTAATTAATTTTACAAATTACTTATTAATTTTCAAAACACGTTTTCACAGAAAGTAACTAGTTATGACTTCTTAGTGCAAGATATGGCATCGAGGTATACTTACTGTTAACAGTTTTAGTTTTGAAGTTATGGAACAACATTGCCATATGATGCATCGTTAAAATAATTGAACATAAATAACATAAATATTGAACATAAATAAATAAAAATATGATACATACAAGTCCTCTGGCTTTGTCTCGCTATGACGACATGCGCAAAGTCAATTAAAATTAGAACAGCAAGTGAGCATATCTTGTTGTTATAGTATCATGGCCTGTGACCTCCCAATATCTATTTATACGTCACGAATTATAAATTTGTTAAAAGTATAAATTCAACAATAGCAATGCTTAACACTAAAGTCGAGCCGTTGCTCAACGTTCCACCCAACTCTTTTGGGCTGAAGGGTAAGAGCTCCTCACCAACAACAAGGTGATACGGCTACCAGAGGAGAATTACTTATGTTATATTCAGATAGATTTTAATTGTTGGATTTAACAAAAAAGTCCAACCATTATTTTTAAGACAATTCATGTTTAAAATGTCTAAACCATGGTTGAATTCATGATTTTATATAGGCATACGGATGGTTAATATAAAAGAATAATTTAAAATGATCAATATTATAAGCAAGCTGATGTTTTAATGAAGCATTTGAGGTTGATTATGTTCTGCGAGAAGTAAAAATAATGTTTTGTAATATTGTAATGTACTTTTATATTTGTTTTTATGATGTTTGCTTATCTTTTTTTAAACAATAAACAAATAATTGATAACTATTTTCTTTTGATTAAAATATCTTTTCGATATTGTTTTAGATATAGTTCCGATAGCAGATCTCGAGGTTGGCAGTGCCCTTTCAGACCACTTACAAGTTTTTGGATTGGTTTTTTCAAGTAACCTAACAGAGCCTGTACAAACCTTAAGAGAATCTATTAAGGAGTTGCTTACATATGGAACAGGTTATTTAGCTAAAGCACTTCCTACAGAAGCAATAGGTTTTTACAAAACTCATTTAGAATTGTTCGAAAACTATCCGGATATAGAAATTAGTTTTTCAGACAGTAATGCAACGGCTGAAGCAGCTGGGAGGTATATACATTGGAAAAAAGATATACTAAAAGCAATAATTGGTAAGAAAACGGCTTGTTCTTTTCAAGTGTTTGTGACTCCGTTACACACTAAATCCTTGGGTACCGTTAGATTAAAGAGTTCCAATCCTTTAGAATATCCTGCTATAAATCCAAATATTTTATCAGATCCTGAGGGATGTGATTTAGAGAGTGTTTATGTTGGTATTCAGTTAGCATTAAATCTTACTCAACAAGAACCTTTTAGAAAAATAAATGCTAAACTAGAACTACAACCTATTAAGGAATGCAGTCAATATCAATTTATGAGCAGAGAATACTGGCGTTGTGCCAGTAGGTATATTGTCTCTCATAATAATCACTCAGTCGGTACTTGCAAAATGGGGCCAGATCCCAAACTTGGTCATGTTGTAGATGATCAACTTAAGGTTCACGGTATTAAAAAACTTCGTGTAGCAGATGCTAGCGTTATTCCACTGTCGACCTCTAGTCACATTAATGCAATTTGTTATATGATTGGTGAGAAGGCATCAGATTTAATTAAAATATATTATAAACGAATTTAATAAAATTTTGGATTTTCTGGTTGTTGTTATTGTAACTGATTTTTGTTTATTATTTTGTTTATTAATTTTCATTCAACTTCAAAGAACCACTTTCTACAGGGTGCAGCATTAATGCGATGAAGTCCAATTCTTAATGTGTCGTAAGAAATACGAAAAAAAATATTTTTTGTGAAAATTAAAGCATAGATAGGACCATGTTTTTTAAATTATTAAATATACAGGGTTATCCATATGAACCATCTTTTTTTAATAGAACATCCTATAAATTTTTACATTTTTTGACTTTTCTTCATGTTTTCGATTTTGAAATATAAGGTTTCGCAATGTTACACGTGATAGTTTGAAAGATAGTAAACAGATAATTTTTTGTTAATTGTGTATTAACATTAACACCCTGTTAAATTGATATTTGACACCAAAAAATATATTTATGCTTAAATGAGTTGTAAGTTCACTATCAAAATACTATCATATAAAATTCATTTGCATGTGGGATTAGAGTTACATATACAAACTCCTCAAAGCCAATTTAGCAGAAGCGGTCGTACCGGAAATACGGCAAAAGGTTAAAGTCATATACTTACCTCAGGTTGGTAAAATATCAGCTCTAACACCAAGGCCATATGGACCAATAAGCCTAAGGGAGAATGCAAGCAGCCCCAAATATAGTTGATAACTGAAGTAAACAAGATAGACTGATAGTCAAAAATAAAAATAGTCAAATTCACACAAAAAAAAAGCGGTACATGACCTAAAACCACCGGTGCTGGAAAGGACGGAGATTTTATTTGCAAAAGAAACAAAATATATGCTTATATGGAATACTCACATACTAAAAATCACATAGAAAGCTACCATGTCCTTGGGCAGATGTAGAAGAATATGAAGTAAGAATTTGGGGCTTAACCTTAAAATGATGCTGACAACGACGTTGGAAGTCCTGCTGAATCTACCACCACTTTTTAACTTTATACAGGGCAAAGTCAGATCAGTAATGCACACAATATTACATGTCAGCAACACAAAAGCGAAGCATATAAGTGTTGACAATAGAAAGCTAATCGGGAAGTTAAAAGCAGATATTGTCATGGGACAACCAATCGATGCAATAGTAACAAGATTCGACAATAGATTTAAAATTAATATGCCAGACAGGGAAGATTTAACGAAAGGTGTATTCATACAAGCAAAAGCTATCTGATATACTTATGGTTAAAAAATATCGGAGCGGTAGGAGCCGGTATAGTAGGGACAAATCAAGCGATACATTTCCCGATAAGTCTATCTGAAGCTGTTACAGTTTTCCAAACAGAAATAACAGCAATATATCACTGCAATGCAGTAATAGATGAATTACCCATTTAACGTAACCGTATGGTTCCATTATCCAGTAAAAGTTATTGAAATATTTTTGAATGTGGCCGATAAAGGGTTAATATGAAATAACCCTTGCCTATTATTTTTATTCTCTTCACTTTTTTTGTATATTTGCCTAAGATTACTTCAAGTAGACTATATATAATTCAGGTACTTATTTGACTAATTTAATAAAATAGTGAAATAAATATAAAGATCAAGTATTTTTGAAGTGTGTTAACATTTTAATTCCTAGCTTAGCGCTTTCAGCTTACTAAGCCATGACCAAGTTTTTCAGTATCACTACTAGGAGAGATCATTTGGTAATAAAATTATAAAAAAAATTCTTATTAAGCTAGTTCTATTTATTTTTCAAAAAGCAAAAAAAAACTGTACAATGAATGTAAATGAAATGTCAGCCTTTTAAATGATTCTTAGATGACATGTGCCGTCGGAAAAGTTTTTGTATGTTGGTATTTCTTGCTGTATCCCAGCCATCTCGGTTTTAAAACACATTTATAATTCAGAAGTTTGTTTTTGAGGCTAAAATTTGATTTTAGACTTATGTACCAATACATTTTCCTGTAGATTAAGTCAAGTTAAAGAAATGTTTTCCTGATGTGGGTGCCCTAATTAAATTGATTTCCAAATGAATATCCAGGTATATAACGACGGTATTAACTGTTGGTACGACACCTCTTTTTAAAGTAAACGTTATTTGTGTTTGTATGATTTTAAGCTATTGGGCTGTTGGACTCGCCACAGTTTAAGCTAGCTCTCTAATTTAAGCAGATGATTTTACAATACATGTAATGTTTCAGTTGCTGTAGAATGTGAAGCCATGATAACTGTGTCATGGCCATATGTAGCAATTGTTGAATTATTTGTAGTTGTGAGATCTGATGTGTATATTTATATGTGTGTATGTGTATATTAAGCAGATGATAACGACAAATTAAATATTACTATCATAAGGGTAGGTGAAACAAGATACAAGGCAAAATACAGAGAATTTCATAGTAAACGGATACGCTGTTTATTATTTTGGAAACCAAGATCATATGCATCGAAACGGAGTATCAATAATTATAAAACAACACATTAGTAAGTATGTCACTAACTTTATTCCAATATATCAGATAGAGTAATGTTAATACAGCTAAATGCCAAACCTGTAAATTTAAATATAATCCAAATGTATGCTCTCATTGCTGACGCATATGCAGAAAATTGAAGACATCTACCATCAAAGTGCAAAAAATAACAGGGAAACACGCAACAACAGTAGTTATTGAAGAGTATAGTTATATGAATAGTTAAATGAATATAAAAATACACAAAATAACCAATATACCCAACGAAAACAGAATCATTAGAATGTTGGTATGACATAGAAAACTCGATTTTAGAGGAAGTAAGAGAGTCTTTGAAACCACTTAAAATATTGGCAAAAAATAAGTGGTTATCACAGTAAGTCCTAGAAAAATACCGCGAAATCAACAAACTCATAAAAAAAAATTAAGCAAGCCAAATAATTTTGGCAATTTCAACCTCCACAAGAAACTCAAATATACTTCTGGAATTCTGAAACTGAAAAATGCCCACGTAGTTTAAAAACGCAGATGGAAAAAATTTGCGATCACGAACAAGAGTGCAAAGAATGGGAAAGATACAACAGTGGTAGACACTGTTTTGTACTTTAATAATGTTATAAACATAATGTTATAAAGAAAAGCAGGTTGTTGGACCTGCATTGAGCAATTTTACACTAATTAGTTTATTGAACAACAAACACACTTAAGATATTTTAACGAATTATACAAAACCGAGTATTCCTTCTGTGTGAAATTAAAATGGGTAATAAGAAGTTTGAACTTCGAAATGGTCTAGAAACTAGGGAGCATTATTTTGTATGTGTGTTGCCTTACAAAAACCTGTAAGTTCCGAAAGAAGGTCATGTTTGTTTCATAGACTTCGAGAAGGCATTCGACCAAGTACAGCACGATACACTTTACAACTGCCTGCGAACAGTAGCACTTGACTACTACTATAGAAGATGGATGCTAAAATACTATCAAGTAGATCCTATCTAATTTGGAGATAGTCGTACTGAAAAACTATCCATTAAACGTGGAATACCATAGGGTTGTGATACCTCGCACCATTTGTGCGAGTCTTTTTAATCTGTAGTCTGAAGAAATCTTTAAGAAGCCGTTGGCACACGCGTTTGGTGCTCACTCAGCTTCACTTTTGTTATCGTTGCGGTCACTCCTTTGACGTGTAAAATTCCCTACTCTAAGGTTAGGGCAATTTGAACTCTAAGTTGTTGTCCTGAATATTTTAAATACAAGTGACGTTAGTTTGTATATATCGTGACGTGAAACATTTTTAATTTAAAAAATGGTTCATGAAAATCATATGCCTCATTATCTAAAAAAATCGGATACAAAACCAAATATTGGGTCTTTTAGCAGATAATATTAAATAAAACAATAATATCTATGATTTAAAGAGGAAAATATTTTCTGTAACTTTAGACTGTCATCTTGATGCTACACACAAAGAGATAATTATAGTGATTATCCATTTTGTAAATATTAATACCGCTGAACAATCTTTGGAAATTATGAAAAATATTTGAGATTGTTTTCGCATACCTGATACTACCGAAATAGGTCTTTTTCATTTATCGTTTATACATATTTGGAGCCAAAGGTACCAATAACGGTGCAGATATAAAAGAAATCATAACAGATTACAAAAAAATATTGGGATTAATCCTACAGCTTCTTTTGTTCATTATACAGAGCTTATACGTATTACCATTACGTTAGTTGTAAATGTTAACTTTTTCTCTACAATTCAAAAATTGTTTATTTTTTCTGGTAGTACTAAGAGGTCTGTGCTTAAAAGCAAAATACAAAATTTTGCATTAAAATCTATATCCGACACAAGATGGAAAACTAGAGTTTCGAAATAAAAAATGTAAATAAAGCTCTCAGGGAAACACTATTGCGTAAAACGTACGTAGAACCGTTGATTGAATAATCCAAAATCAACGGTAGAACGTATTCTAGTGTTAAAATATAAGCTTCCCTAATTTGGAAAAGTGTAAATAAAAAATAATAATAAATAACCTCCCAAATTTTAAAGCTTGTAAAACTATGTTAAAATTACCTAAAAAGATATCAATTAAATATTGCACAACGTCCCATACTATAAATGTAAGATTACAGAACTCGATTATCGAACTAATAGGATAGTTAATCTGCATTCATTGTAATATTTTAAATTTAAAATAAGATTAGCGTAATAAAGTATTTCAGTTTCTAGTAGCAATTCGGTTTTACCGTTTGCATGTCCTTACGTACCTAATTTTTCTGATTTTCCAACAATATTATGAGTATTTTTACGTTGTGGTTTAGACGACCTACATATAGCAATAATTGCATAATAATGGGTTTTATAAATGCCTAACATCAATATTGTATGGTTCGGTGGCATCGGTTTTTCTGTTTTGTGACGAATTTAGATTTAAAAATAGAAATATCAATAGGAATAGAACGTTTATTTTTGAAAAATACGTAGATAATCATAGAAGTAAATTACAAGAGATAGAAAACAAAAGTAGATAAAGAGAAAAT